TTGTTAAATTAAACCTGCCCCTGGGCTAGTTGTTAAATTCCACACACACACACACACACCAGTTATCAAAGTGGATCCTGGGAGCTGCACTGAACTGCAATGGAGAAACTGGCAATGGAGTGGCTGGCACAAGGGAAGGAGAAGGAGCAAAGAGAAGAAAGAGGGAAAGCGGCCTTTTTCCCATGCACTGGCCGATCTGTTGCCTGTTTCTCCATTGCAGTGCAGCACCCAGGATCCACTTTGATAGCACGGGGGTGGGATTTCACAACTGGTTTGCTGAACCGCTGCAAACCAGCTGAATCTCACACTGATTAATGTCGCTGGGTGACAGTGGTTCCATTCCTACTTATGGGAATGGCCACAGAGAACAGTATTGAACTACTACATTTCTGACTCTTAGCAGTTACATTATAGGCTTCAACCAAAGCTGCCTTTTCTTGGTTGCCTGTGCTTTTGAGGATCCATATTAAACCCAGTGATGAGCCAAGGGGGAAAAGTCATCAAAAGATATGTAGTGCTGGAAATTGAAATTCAGCAGGAGCTTCTTGTTAGAAGATGGATTCCTGAATACTTCTGAAACTCTCAAAGAACACTGAGGTCCCTTTCTCCTAAAGTCTCTTCTATTTTGGGAGCCCAAATGATTTCTCAGGGCAAAAAAATGCCAATCAGCAAGATCTCCCAGCTACCTTTGGTTGGGCAGGGAAATCCTGAGCTACAGTGAGTCTCGCACTCACACTCTCAGATTACTGTGATGCATTTTATGTGCGGTGCTCTTGCATTTGATCTGAAGCTGTAGCTGGTGTGGAAGAAGCTGGCTGGGTTGCTGAGAAGGCCACTGGCTGAAGCAACTCTGTTGGCTGCCAGTTTTGAACCTAGGACAAGACTGTGCTTTTAACATGCAATATATGGCCCTTAAAAGTTGTGTTAAATGAAAGAATGCCTTTGCCATTACATTCTGGGTTGATCAGGACGATTGCAGATCTGGAAATGTAATCAAAATAAAAGAGTGCCCTCTGGTGGTTTCTCATGACTTGGCCTTTTGGGCAGTTATTGGTACTTTGTAAATTTTGTATCTCTATCCCAGAAAAACGATGAAGCCCATACAATTATGTTTTTAAAGTAGTAGTTATACATGCTATTTTTGGGATGGGGGGAGGATGAATATTGTAGGCACTTAATAATTATTCTTTTGGTGCTTCTGATTGAGCATTTTCCAATTCTACAATGTATTGTGGTTTACATTTGAATTGATTGGAAACCATGTTGAGATGTGTAATAGGATATAGTACATAAATAAAAGAAGCAATAAATGAGGAATAATGTCCTTTTGTGCCTCCTCTGAGGTTACCTATTTGATGTGCTGAGAAGGCTCTGACAATGCCACTATAATAGCAATAAGTTATATACCACACATCACAGAGAGAGAGATTTCTCAAATTTCTTAACAACTGGTTATGTGGGTGTGGCCTAATTTGTGGGTGTGGGTTGGTGGTCATGTGACTGGCTGGGCAAGGCTTGTATGTAAATATTTATATAATATTGAACTTTTTATAAAAAAAGAGCAACTTTTACCCAAAATCAGGCAGAGCAGGCAGGCAGATTGAGTTGCTCACAGAATCACAAATTCATTCAGAGATTTATCTTTCTGCAATCGGCTACCTGAGTCTGTCACATAACATTTGCTTGCAAGCAAACCCATAAAATTTGCTAGCAAGAAAACTCACAAAATTAACTCACACAACACACCATATATGTAAATATTGATTTTTTTTATTTAAAAAAGTGCAACTTTTACCCAAAATCAGGCAGAGCAGGCAAGCAGATTGAGTTGCTCACAGAATCACAAATTCATTCAGAGATCTGTCTTTGTGCCATCGGCTAGCTGAGTTTGTCACATAAAATTTGCGTGCAAGCAAACTCACAAAATTAACTTGCAACACACCATGTATGTAAATATTGAATTTTTTATATAAAAAAGAGCAACTTTTACCCAAAATCAGGCAAAGCAGGCAGACAGATTGAGTTGCTCACAGAATCACAGATCCCCTTAGAGATCTGTGTTTCTGCCATTGGCTAGCTGAATATGCACTGCTTCAGTCCTAAAGAAGGTTCGGCTCTGCTTAAAGAGCCGAAGATCTAAAGGTTAGCTAGAAAGCAAGAAATACAACGATTTCCTGCTTTCTAGCTAATCTAAATCTCCCGGCACATCAGAACAGCTGATGGTTGGAAAAAAGAAAAATAGCAACTTAGCAGGCAAGTTTGCCAAGTAAGGAGTGAGTGGGCGGGGAGGGAGGGCCACGTGGGTGGCGCAGCCTTGTGTTCCGGAAGCCTGGATTAATTGCTTTGGTGGGGTGCTCTGGGGGTGACATTTCTCTGCGGACCACCAATTTTTTCTTGTGGACCACTAGTGGGCCGCGGCCCATCGGTTGGCGACCACTGCTCTAAGGCGATTACAGAGTTAGCATATTGCCCCCAACAATCTGGGTCACTTCATTGACCTGAGAAGATGGAAGGCTGAGTCAACCTTGAGCCAGTCAGAATGCAGTCTGCAGAATTAGCCTGCAAATACTGTATTCTAACCAGTGTCACCACGGCTCAACAATAACTGCTGGCCTTCTAGAAAGTCCTCAAAACAAAGTTTTATAAATTGGCTGAAAAATCCCATGATACAGCAGTGCCTGCTAGATGGTTCACATTATGGTTGACTAAATGAAGTCATGATACTTTTTTGCCATTTTAAAAAACTCGTTTGAAAAAAGATTTTTGATTTTTTTGGGGGGGGGGAGTTATTTTGTCTTATTTATTTATTTTGATCGTATTTTAATTGCTTTTTATCTATTTGGATTGTATTATTGTCTGCACCACCCAGAGTCAGAAGATGAGATGGGCGGCTTTATATAAAGTCATATAAATAAATAAAACTCTTGGTAGGGCCGCCCATCCCATTAAGGTGAAAAAGGAAGGGAATGAAAGCTAGCTCTTCAAGAATGAGGGTGACCAATCCTTAAATGAAGGAACCTCAAAATCAATCCCAGAGGGTGACAAGTGGTTTGGTTTGGAATGGCAAACCATTTTTGTATTTCTATGAAAAAAATATGCAACGTTCTGTATAGACTTGGCTGAGGCATTTAGGCAGATTGGGTACCAAATGCTAACCTACCCACCTTCCCCCGCCCATCAATAACCAAATTTCAGGACAATAGTGAAATAGCACTATATCTCTACAAGAGATCTGACAGCAAGGACAGGTCCCCAGATCCAAGTTGCAAGGAAGGCTGGGTATGGATGGTGCCCGTAATGAAAAGATACATATGATAGAAACACGGTAGGTGAAAAACATGGACTACGAAACCATCGAGGCTGTCATAGTGGAAAAGAAGCATACTGATTGTTTCAGAAATGTTTTAGAAATTAGTAAACTTAGATTGAATCAGAAAAGTTAAATTAAAAAAAAAAGTTAAATATCGGCTACTTCCATGTAAATGGATCATATCTTCAAGAACTAGTGGGTATGTTGAATCTCAGTGATATATTATAGATTATATACAGGTAGTTCTCGACTTACAACCATTCATTTAGTGACTGTTCAAAGTTACAGTGGCACTGAAAAAAAGTGATTTAGGGCAATTTTTCACACTTACAACTATTGCAGCATCCCCATGGTCACATGATCAAAATTCAGAGGCTCGGCAACTAGTTCATATTTATGACGGTTGCAATGTCTTGGGGTCGTGTGATAAGCTTTTGCGACCTTCTGACAAGCAAAGTCAATGGGGAAGCCAGATTCACTTAACAACCTTGTTACTAATTTAAGGACTGCAGTGATTCATTTAACACCTGTGGTAAGCAAGGTCGTAAAATGGGACAAAACTCACTTAACAAATGTTTCACTTAGCCACACAAAGTTTAGGCTCAATTGTGGTCGTAACTCAAGGATTACTACCTCTACTCTTATTATAAGTACAATAGTGGAAAACACTAGGTTCTAGCACTTTGCAAGAAGTACTAAAGAATCTTCTAGAAAGGCAAAATGTTATTAATAAAGTCGTCACTAGCGCAACGCAAAAATTGAAGAAATTGATTGGTTAATCAAGTTCTGCAAAGTGAATTCTTTGTTCATTGCTAATACCTTCTTCAAGCAACACAAGCACAAACTCTATTCCTGGACAACGTCCAACTGGAATCAAATCAACTACATAATAGGAAACAAATTATGAAGAATGATAATCCAGCCAGTCGGAGCATTTTCCATGGAGATACTGGAACAGACCATGAATTGCAGATGCTAAACCTGGAGAAGGAAAGAGTAGCATATCAAAGTGGAGGCTGTCAAGTCACAACGTAGGATCAATTTAAGGTAAAATTGGAAAAGAAACCGAAGCAACGAAATTAAACCGAATCGATACTATCTTCTGAGCAAAAAGGGTAATTGATCTTGCAAATGAATAAGTGAAGCATGTATATGGGACAAGGGATACACGGATCTGTCAGTTTAGAGCGAGATACAAATGCATGGATTCATTTCTGGACCCCTGTACACTGCACATATATTTCCAAATCTCTTTCTCTTAGCCTCAAGATCAGTGCTCATTACAAGGACCAAAGGAGCAATAGATCAGAAAATGATAAGGTCGGAGGAACTGCCTTTTTTCCCCCCAACGAAACCACATTTCCTTTCTTCAAGTTAGATAAACAAGGCGACAATAATCAAGTTCCACTCCTCTTTTTATTCAGTTATTAATTCAATGACCCTCCTCAGCCCAGCCCTCGCTCTTCCCAGTCGCCCCAGAGATGCGACGAACCTGTCTGTTTCTTCCCAAGCTCCGCCCAGGAACGCTTCTCCTCCAATCACAAAAGAGGAGAACACCGGACGGGTTTCATCGAAGAGGCAGCGTTTCTCGGCTGATAGAGTCAGCGAGGAATTCAGCGCCCGCCAATGAGCGTCCCTCTTCGGTAGCCCCGCCTACTAATGCTTGCTCCATCTGTCCCCTTAAGCCCCCCAAAAGCCAGATTGCTTGGCGCGCGGGCGGGCGGCCAAGCGCCCGCGGGGCCGGTGAAATTGTTCCGGCGCGTGCTTTTCGTGTCTCTTGGACGGTGTCCGACGAGGCTCATTCCACGGCCGCTATCCTCTCCCTTAGGACCGCGTAGGCCTGGAAAAGCGAAGCCTAACGAAGGAGGCCCTTAAGAAGTTGCGGCGAGGCCAGGCCGGCGGCAATGTCCGTGAGGAGCGGCGAGGGGCGCGCGGTTGCGTTGCTGCGGGTGACCACGACGGCGACGACTACTACGGCGACAGCCTCGAAGGCGCGGGGCCTGCACCGCTTCCTTTCGTCCGCGCCGGCCTGCCTGTTGTCTGCTTTTCCTCCTCGCCACGGAGCCCTGCCGGGGCTCTGGGCCCGACAGTGAGCCGCCTCGGGCTGGGCCCGGGCGGAAGAGCGCGGAAGACCGAGATTGCGGGGCGCAGGGAGCTGCCGAGGGGGGCAGCCTGAGCTTCGGCCGCTTGAGCATGGGAATCCTCTTCACTCGGATATGGAGGCTGTTTAACCACCAGGGTGAGAAGGAAGGCCGTGGGGGAGGCACGCAAGGCGGCTCGGCTGGTTAAAAAGAAAAAAGAAAGAGAGAAGGGCTGAGGGGGAGGAGAAGAGCGCTTTGAATGTGGTCGGTTCGGTTCCCGGCATCTAGTCCCGGAAACCACCTCCAACCCGGGTGCTTTGGGCTTCTCCCCCCGACGCGTCCTGGCCTTGTTGGCCGGTGGGAGTACGGGAGCTAAGTTGCAACGCGTCTGGGAAACGCCCAGCACCACTTTGTGTATGTGGGGTGGGGAAAGAGGTAGACTTAGATAAGAGCCCCGTAACCGAGACTCAAATAAAAGACTGCAGAGAAGAGCAACACAGATAATTAAGGGACTGGAGTCTAAAAACATGAAAGACACACGGTTTCAGGAATTGGGTGTGTCTAGTCTAAAAGGGACTAGGGGTTGACATGATAACAGTCTTCCTATATCTCAGGAGTTGCCACAAAGAAGAGGGAGTCAAGCTATTCTCCAAAGCACCCGAGGGCAGAGCAAGAAGCAATGGGTGGAAACTAACCAAGGAGAGAAGCAACCTAGAACTATGGAGAGATTTCCTTACAGAACCTTTAATCACTGGAACAGCTTGCCTCCATGAGGTGTGGGGGCTCCAACAATGGATTGGTACAGGATTGGTACTCCGAGGTACCAATGGATTGGTACTCCGAGGTACTCGTTCATTGGTTTCTGGAGGCACGATGAGTACCAAAAACGATGAGCGCAAACATGTTTTTCCCATAAGGAATAATGTAGTGAGTCACAAGGCAGGCAACCCAGAAAAGTTCCAAGTTCTGGCTTGTAAGTTGAGTACTTAACAAATGATGAGTACCGGGACAAAATTTTCATGTCAAAACGCATTGAGCACCAAATTTGATGAGTTTCAAAGCAGTTGAGTATCAAGGTTCCACTCTATTAGAAAAGGCAGTGTAGTAACAGTGTGTGACACTGTTATAAACCATCTTGGCCAACCACTTATGATGTCCTGCTTTTACCTTTTTTAAGATTAAATACTTAGCCATGGAAACATTGCATAGTTGAAATTATGGTTTACCTCTTTCTCCAAACTGCACCCCCCATATTGGCTTAAATTTTGAAAGCAAAGACTGAAAGTGGTTGGGGTTCCTGTTTTGGAGGTTTCTTAGATGCTTAAAAAACAAAGAGGAACATTGGATTTCACAATTGGAGTTTATTCATTGGAGGCAGAGGGGGAACAACAATAGTCATTGTTAGCAGATAAATTCCTATTTAAAAACAAATAGCTTGCATGCTAAGTGTGGCTATTGAATAAATGATTGGCTTCCTAGGTTACTGACTTGTTTGTGGATTTATCAGTCCTTCAGATATTGCATGTCTCTTCTCTAATGCTTTGTATGAACCTATAGTGAGAGGATTCCTTCATAGTTTGCATACCACCTAGAACTCACTGGCACACAAAATGTAATTATGACCACTATCTTGAATGACTCCAAAGGAGGATTAGGTAAATCTGCAGGAGAGAAGGCTGTCAATAATGAAAACTGTATATTGTAAAATCTTTAAAATGTTAAAAGGAGGGTGCTATTACCCTTGCTTGCTGGTTGTGTCCTTTTCATATGCATCTTGCTGGACTATTAGGCCTGTGGTCAAATTCATCAGGGCAGTTTTTACTTTATGTTAAATATTTTTTCAAGTGCTCCAAAATAATTTGTGGTGATTGAATGTCAGGAGAGAGATGTATGAATGTGTCATATGTTTTTTTTTTAAGGTGGGCACTAAGCTTATAATAAAGTGGTAAATTTGGGTTTCCTACAGGTTTGTAGTTTAACAAAATAGTTCTATAAAGTTACAGAATCTTAGTTTCGATGTATTGAAATTATATTCTTTAAAAACATCATGTAGCCTTTATTAAATGTAAAATAGTATCAGAATCATGGAGTAGTGTTTGATTGTGTAGCATAACAAATTGTAAAGGAATATTGGCTACATTTGTTTGTCAAATACAGAATTTCCCTTGAAAACTTAAGCTTGAAGAATACATGGAAATAGTTCAGAGGGAGGGTGTAAAAGAATTAAATAAAGGTAAATATTTAGAAACTCTCTTATCTACAGAATTCTGGAGGTTGGTTTTGGTTATTTTCTGTTTCTATCTTTTATGTACATAAGCGGGGAAAACACTGTTTGCTTCTTGCAGGTTTTGAGCTGTGTTATTTGAGCAGGTACCACCTGAAACCAACTGAGCTGAGGATACAGCTCTCTTGCTTCTGCCCCATCAATAATTGAAATGCTATAATAGTTGATAATCAGTTGATAGGGAAGAATTGGGCAAATGGGAGTTCCAATGTATGTATGTACTGGGTACATAGACGACTTATGCATCATTCTGAAATTGTAAAACTGTAAGACTGACTTATTTCCTTCATTACTTTGATGCTTCTCAGACGTACAAAAAAATTCTGATAAATTTGTTACATATACAGTATCCTCCATATAGAATTCGTTGTTTATTAACCGGGTAAATAGATTTGCCTAATGCTCATGTGATTAGCTTTATAACTGGCGACTTGCTTTATGGTCATTGTAATGTTCTTATAATTGAGCCTGGTCAACTGCAATGACTTATGATCAAAATTCCAGGCTCCATTGTGGTTGTAAGTTGAGCATTATCTCTGCAAATAAAATGTTTTAGATTATGATGCACACAAAGACCAATGACTCCTTGAGTTTTACTTAGAGCAAGGATGTCAAACTCTCATCGCGTCATCATGTGACGTATCTTAACTTTTTTTTCCCCTTCGCTAAACCGGGGGTGGGCGAGGCCAGCGCGTGATGCATCCGGGCCATGGCTTAGAATTAAAAGGAAATTGTCAAATGTTTGGATCTTGCAGAAGAAAATTATAACTTTAGTTTTTAATTAAGCATCCTGTGTCTTTGCTTTGCCATTATTTCTTTCCCTTAGGAAGTAATTATTATGTGAGAGAAATTAGTTCATGTAGTTATTGCATGTGTTTTCAGTCATGCAGTAACTACTATGATTGCTTTTAAATGTAATGCAACAGGTGATCTGCACTTGTGCATTATAGTGATTCCATTATTGGAATAAAAACTATTTATTAAATAATTTAGATATATCACAGATGAATTAAACTTACCAACTATGTGCCATCTAGTTAGTGTTGACTTTTAATAATCTTCTCCAAGATAATAACACAATAAAACTCAAAACAAAATTCAGTAAAATTACTATTACTATAAGTAAATAAAATTGTGAACTGCATAAAACTACCAGTAAATGCACTACTAGAATACCACTACCAGATCTTTACCATTTAGTACCAAGCTAAAATTTACAACAGTGCCAAAATCTGGATATTACTGTACTAAAATATCTGGGGAGATAGAAATATTAATTTAGTACCAAAAAGTAATAATATGGTCACCAGTAAAGCTATATAGAGAGAGATAAGCCCAAAATATTTGAAAAAAAGCCTTTATCCTGGATAGATACATATGGAATAAGATACATTTACTTTCTGCCAAGTAAGTTTTAAGTTAATTCTAGTAGGAACATGAATAGGACTTAAAAATAAAATGAAATCTAATCACAATGCCTGAGGCAAAAAGATCTGAAAACATATTTTACACGCTGAAATATCTTGTCTGTTTTGAGAAACCAACCCCTGTATTATCAAATAATACAAATAGTAAGGCAGGATCTCTGTAGTTACATATCCTTGTTTGGACAGGGATAACCACAAATGATAAGGAAATACCCAGCAAGCTAGCATTATTTAAAAGAACCTATTTAATACTTAACGATATGTTTAGGCCTTTTGCATCAATTGTTTGAGAAAATTTAAGATTATTTCATATGGAAATAAGCAGTAATTAAGTCAATTCTTCTAATTCTAGCCACATGAAATACTTTTTTCTTCTTTAGTACAAGTTCAGAAACCAGGGGCCATACATATAAACAAGCATGAGATCAAAAACCCCAATGATTTGGGACTTTTTCTAGCTATGTACCATTCAAAGTGTTGGTGCTTGTGTTTTTTTCCAAGACAGCCGTCTCTTGTTGGCAGAGAAGAAGGATGCTCCTTGATTTGAGTTGGGAATGGGGAAAGATGGCATAGCAGCATGCACATGGTCTTTCGGTGACCTATAGACTCAGTTTCAAGCAAAGTGCTGCTTGTTAAATCTTGGGAGATCAAGAACAGTTGGTCCTCGACCTACGACCAAAATTGAGCCAAGATTTCTATTGCTAAATGGGACAGTTGTTAAGTGAATTTTGCCCCAATTTACAATCTTTCTTGCCATAGTTAAGCACATCACTGCAGTTGTTTAGTGAATCTGGCTTCCTCATTGACTTTGCTTGTCAGAAGGTCACAAAAGGCAATCACATGACTCTGGGACACATGGTTAAAATGGTTATAAATATGATTCAGTTGCCAAGTATCTAAATTTGGATCACATGACTGGAGATGTACAACTATTGTAAGTGTGAAAAATTGTCATAAGTCATTTTTTTTAGTTCTGTTCTAACTTTGGTCACTAAATGAACTGTTGTAAGTCAACGACTACTTATATTAACAAATTCATCCTAGGCCAGTCCACTTCAGTAGTATCTCACATATAAAAAAGACAGTAAACCAATGCATGGAAATAATAAATATTACATTTGAATTGCATCTTTCTGCATTGTGCAGTTGGTAAAAATTTGATATTTAGAGAATAACTTCAGAAAGTAAATTAAAGTTCATAATGTGTGGAATACATTTTGAAAGAATAAAGTTGAAAACACAAAAAACGCTAATATTGTATGTGATGTGTTTTACATACTGTATGTTAGGTCTCCTATAGAAAACAAACCTGATATGAAGGTATTGTGAATTCTGTACAAAACAATATTTACAAATGTTGTAAATTATTACAATTACTATTAAAAGCTTTATTATAGAAACATAAAAAAGATAAAACATGTATTAGGCAAAGAACAGGTGTTAATGACAGTGGATCCACGTCAATATTTTATTAGTACTCTGAAGTCCCCAGGCATTCATTGTCATATGATAATCATTTTTTGTCAAAAAAACATTCAGAGACCTGAGCCGTATATACATTATTATACAGGTAGTCCTCGATTTATAATCACAATTGAGGCCAAATTTTATTTTGCTAAGTGAGAAATTGGTCAAGTGAGTTTTGCCCCTCTTTATGACTTTTCCTGCCACATTTGTTAAGTGAATCACTGCAGTTAAGTTAATAACACAGTTGTTAAGTGAATCTGGCTTCCCCATTGACTTTGCTTGTCAGAATGTCACAAAAGGTGATCACATGACCCAGGGACACTGTAGCTGTCATAAATATATACCAGTTGTCGAGCGTCTGAATGTAAATCACATGTCATAAGTTACTTTTTTCAGTGCCATTGTAACTTCGAACAGTCACTTACAACGAACTGTTGTAAGTCAAGGCCTACCTGTAATGTGTTGGAAGTTTATTTCCAAAGTGGTCTTAATATAAATAGTGTTGTAATATGACAAGCTGAAATTCTCTGTTCCACATTCTCGTGATTTATATGAATGGAGTTAGAAATAATTGCAGGGAGGGAAGTAGTGTCTGTGTGGGGTCCTTGCTGATCTTTGAGCTTGCTTGTTTTCTTGCAGGCCTTACAGTTATCAAACCAGGTGCTAGACAGCCAAGCTCAGATGACAACTTTATGATTTATGACCATAATGGACAGGCTCCATTATGGGTATAAGTCAAGAATTATCTGTAGAATTCACAGTAAAAACAATAAAATTGGTGATTATGGAATCAGTGACTGTTTGACTAGAAATAGGCAACCTAGTGACCTCCAGATATTTTGGGGTCTGTTTCCCATCAGCTCCACATAATTTAGCTAGCAGCAAGGGTGTGTGAGGCATGAAACATGACTATATGCTCAACCATTCTGTTTTCTTTTTCTTTTTTTCATTGCAGAACACAAAGTGATAATAGTTGGGCTTGATAATGCCGGAAAAACTACCATTCTTTATCAGTTGTAAGTATAAAGTAGCATGAACAAGTGATTTGAATTGCCTTGTTGATTTTAAGTGCTGCCCTTGACAGCAATAGGCTAAAATCTCCATGTGTATGTATATATGTATGTATGTATGTGTGTATGTTTGTATTTATACCCCACCTTTATTGTTTTTACAAATAACTCAAGCTGACAAACATATCTAACACAAAATGGTGACATTTTGTAATTAAATGGTGGCCTAAATTTATATCGCTGTGTAAAGTTCATTTTAAGATCTCAGAAAAGGCGTTCTGTACACATATCTTGCAGTACTCTCCTTATTGCTAAAATCTATTGATTACAGTATATGCCAGGTTATCTAAAATGATGAGGTAATTCAATCATTATTTCAGACTTTTTGCTGCCCCCACCAGAACCTCATGATTTCTTATAAGTTTAAGGTAGAAAAGATTAAAATTACAATGTAAACCCTAAACGAGGTTTTACCTATTAAAATTATAAAGAAAATATTTCTTCAAATAAATAGGAAAAAAACTGAAAATTTCAGCATCACTCAAGTGCAGTGTTGCCCAGAAGAAAATTTTAAGTTGCAAATAATCATATTTGGCAATGTAATTATTTTTTATTAGTTTAGAGTAGAATGAAACATTCTTATTTTTAAGACTTGCAAAAAATATGGTTATACTAAAGGAATACAAAAATTAAATTCTATGCTCAGTTACTCAGAATTTAATTCTATTGAAATGTATAGGATTATATTACAAATATTTCAGAAATAAATGTAAGTGTATTTTTATAACTATTACAAAGAAAAGAAAATTATTTTTTTTTCTTTTGCAGTTCTATGAATGAAGTAGTGCATACTTCCCCAACAATAGGTAGCAATGTGGAAGAGATTGTAGTTAATAATACACGCTTTCTTATGTGGGATATTGGAGGCCAAGAATCTCTTCGATCATCATGGAACACATATTATACAAATACTGAGGTAAGAGCATAATCCCTATAGGGAAATCTTAGAAGTAGGGGCGCAACCATATCTGAAGTGCAGAAATCCACACAACCTTTGGATAGTTTCTTTGCTGCTTTGTAATGGTTGGATATTTTTACCCCAGATATGGTGGCTCTAAAACATTGCTGTGGGTCATTTCATATAAAACTTTTTAAGATATGAATCAATAATTTGCTTTGTTGTTTTTAAAATGAAACATCACTTATTTACTTAAATTAGCCTATTAATTTAAAGTGCTTATTAAAAGTGCCTATTTTTAGAGTTAACAATCACCTTTGTTCCAAGAAATTTATATACCTCATTTAAAATATATTTTGGAGAGAAAGTGCTTGCTTTGAGATTAGCTCAATAAACCAAATTCACTTTTCTGTTAAATGATAAGGCAGATTTTGAGAAAGAACCAACCTCCTGTACATGAGAATAGGATGTGTGTGTACATGTGTGCTTATGAGCATGCATTTGGAGGAGTAGGATGGTTTCCATCTTTTTTCAAGATATAGTATCTGTAATTCATTTGGTTTACAATTTTTGAAAACCCTTGGGGAATATATACATTATAACTGTACATCACAGACATAGATAATTATGACACCTGACCTTCCATGAAGTGAGGCTGCTATGAAATTATCTCTACTCTTTATAAGATTTACCCAATTGAAGAACTGTATACTCCTTTCAAATAGTGCAGGAAAGATCATGTCCTGAAACCTTAGTGCAGGGTCATTATGAAGAGAGCTAAACATTCCTCACTGGCTGGCTAGGCTGGGAGGGGCTGTTGAGGTGAAGAAAACAAAAACTCATAGCAGCATTGTCTTTGAGATCAGTGTGAACTACAGAATACATCAAACAAAAAGATGAATTCAGTAATACAAATTAAGGTACTGCCAGAAAAAATACATGTATCTTTTACTGGGTTAGAAATAAAACACTAACAATTTAGGTGCTACTTAAAAACATGGTTGCTAAGCTACCATGAACAATTTTCTAAGAATGTTTATATTGGACATTTGGATCAGTAGTTATGGTGTTCTAATATTTAGTAGAATACTGCTAATAATGCAATCAAAAATATGGCAATTGCTATTGGATACACTCCTCAGAAAATTACACAGAACTACTTGTTAGATTGGGCAGTTTCATTTAGTGTTCCATTATCAAGTCTTGCAATTCTTGCAATATTATAATTGTCTTAATTGATAGTGTTTTGATAAGGAATTGTTTTGTGGAAGCAGCCTTAATCTTTATCTGATTTATGATTCAAGATATGTATGGATATTAATTTACAAATATCTCTGATTCTTACAGTTTGTAATAGTTGTTGTGGATAGCACAGACAGAGAGAGAATTTCTGTAACTAAAGAAGAATTGTATAAAATGTTAGCACATGAGGTAAGTACTTTTTAAAAAGTTAACCTGAAGCAGAAACAATTTCTAAGTTGATGCTTAAGTTTTGTGACTGGCTTCTGATTGTACTTCCATGTTGTTAATCACCTCCAGAATTATATTTTAAAAAGTCATCCCCCCTGGTCCGTCATCCCCGCCCCCCCAGCCCTGGGATTGGGGAATTTCTAGATTTAATAACAATTTTTAGAACAGTACAGTATCTTTTATTTCTGATTTTTTTTCACTACAAACTAAAAAATGGTTTTGCATGTTAGGGAAATAATAAAATGTATTTGTAGAAATTAATATGTATGTTTTCCAAAATAACATTAGCCCCAGATTTCTTAAAGAGAAATTAAAAGTATGATACTTTTTGTTATTAAAACTGCCGTCCGCAACTTTGTGAAGTAAGTGTATTCTGGGAGATGGTAGCAGAGGTGATACATGGTATTAATAATTGCATTTATTTGATAGTACTACATATTAGGATATGTTAGGATATTAGGATAAAAATGCCATATAAAAGAAGTCAAATGATTCTCTTTCATTTATTTTGTATTATATTAAGTTGAAAGAAAGAAAGGTTTTATAAGCATTACAATTTTTGATAATGGATCAAATATCAAAGAGCATTATTTTTAAACTCTCATATTTTAAATGCTGTATTATGGAAATTAAATTCAGTTGGTATGACTGTGACAAGGTAGATGCTAGATTTGCTACCTATTTTAAATAGGTAGATTTAAATAGGTAAATGCAGATTTTAAATGTAGGTTGGCAATATATCTGCACATTCGGTTAGGAAATCATAGGCACTGAAGTAAGAAGTCTGTCCATCCACATACCCCACCTCAAATACTTGCAAACCGACAGCTGTATAGACAGTGAAACCAACATTCCTCTTCCACATATTTAATATGAAATAATTTAATGCTAACAATGTGTCCTTTGTTCTAAGAAGTTGTTAGTATTTAGCTTTTGCATACATCACAATATTTTCTAATTGTGAACCAAATTTCTCTAAACAATGATATCTTTATAAAAATATATACAGAGATGTTTGACAGTATTCCATAGCTCATTATCATTATCGTCTTAGAAATTCATTCAGGTTTAAATGTAAATATTTCTTAGAATTGTTGGAAGTGACCTTTTAGTTGAATTCTGATCGTTTGACATGGAGTTGCTCTGGTGTGATTTTTCATAGAATTTGTGTTGGTTTACTGCATTTTAAAATCAATGTTAATTAAATACAACAACAAATATAATAATTTAGTGGTATAATAGAAAAGAAATAAAATTGAGAATATACATATATATATTTTACTATAGGACTTGAGAAAAGCAGGCTTGCTCATCTTTGCTAACAAACAAGATGTTAAAAACTGCATGACGGTAGCTGAAATTTCTCAGTTCCTAAAACTAACATCTATTAAAGATCACCAGTGGCACATCCAGGCATGCTGCGCTCTTACTGGCGAAGGGTAAGAAGTATTTTGATTGTGAATACTTTTTAAAATAAAAATCTACATAAAGTAATGAGATCATGTCAACCTCTGCAGATATAAGTAAGTCGATAGAAGAGAATATACACTGCTCAAAAAAATAAAGGGAACACAAAAATAAGACATCCTAGATCTACATGAATGAAATATTCTTATTAAATACTTTGTTCATTACATAGTTGAATGTGCTGACAACAAAATCACACAAAAATTATCAATGGAAATCAAATTTAGCAACCCATGGAGGTCTAGATTTGGAGTTACACTCAAAATTAAAGTGGAAAAAAACACTACAGGCTGAGCCAACTCTGATGTAATGTCCTTAAAACAAGTTAAAATGAGGCCCGGTAGTGTGTGTGGCCTCCACGTGCCTGTATGACCTCTCTACAATGCCTGGGCATGCTCCTGATGAGGTGGCGGATGGTCTCCTGAGGGATCTCCTCCCACACCTGGACTAAAGCATCCCCCAACTCCTGGACATTCTGTGGTGCAACGTGGTGGATGGAGCGAAACATGATGTCCCAGATGTGCTCAATTGGATTCAGGTCTGGGGAACGGGCGGGCCAGTCCATAGCATCAATGCCTTCATCTTGCAGGAACTGCTGACACACTCCAGCCACATGAGGTCAAGCATTGTCTTGCATTAGGAGGAACCCAGGGCAGTGTACATAACTTCTATAATTCCACATAATTCTAATCATCAAATTCCCAAATTGAAATTATTTGTTAGTTTCTTGCAAAATGTTGAAAAATTCTCTCAAAATTCTTATAATCTTTCAAGTCCACTTGTAGTTTCCATGAAGTAACTTCAGTTAAATTTCTTACATTTCAGTTTGAAATTGTAATCTACAGTGTTTTTCAATTTTGATTCTCCATTGCCTTTGTAAATCCAATAAGAATAATAATAAGAAAACCTCAGTTTTCTCCAGAGGGATTTGCTGATCACCAGTAGTAACTTCTGATTCCAGTAAAGTATTAAAAAGATTAAGCACTTCACAGATCCATAAATCAAATATTTCCTTTAGTTCCATATTGTGCAATGGTAATTGACCATAGCACATTCAAAGTTTAGTTTTACAATTGATAATGTAAACAAGTCAGCTTCCCCACACGAGTTTGTTTCTATTCTCTCTTTTTTTTTAAAAAAAGTTGTTTCGTTCCATTTAAACATTTTAATGTCTTTAGTTCTCAACTTTTTGCAAGGCAAGCAAAAAACCAGCCAAATTCTCAGACTTTTCTAAATATTATGGTACAATCCCAGAATTTATTAAAATCACCAAAGAAAAATACTTATTTACTGAAGAAAGTCTCTCTTTAACTGAAGAATAAATTATAATCCAAAAATAGCATTAGAAATAAATAAGGTCGATTCTAGTGGCCCTAAATTTATGCTGTGTCACAGCTAAGAACTTGATGACAGACCCCTCGTCCCTGTTTCTCCCATCGGAGAAATCTCCGTTTTTGTAACTAGAGGACCGATCGGTTAATTTCAGATTTCCCTTCTTAAATCTGAGGAAGAAAAATCACCACCACCACCCTAATTGGGAGTGAAACTTGGGTGCAACATTGTCTTCCTTTGGAGGCAATTAAACCACATTTTCCTTACCAAAAGCTAGAACTCAGATCTGTCCCTGGATTTCAAAATGGAAAGTGTCATGAGCTACAGCGCATTACTTTGGTGAAGTTTATTATGATTTCCATATTATTTTGTAAGGGTGTGAGAATGGGAGCCCTAATATATCTAACAAAAAACCATAGCTGTGATTTGAAGTTTGACACAAATGATCTCTATTAATGAATTTATATTTTTGTTTAATTTTTTTTACAGATTATGCCAAGGACTTGAATGGATGATGTCAAGACTTAAAATCAGATGATTCTAACTCTGTACAGACATTGTACAAAAGAGAACTGGCTATTTGGCTGTGAATTATTGGCTTGTGTATATTTATAAAAACAAGATGACTTTTTCTTTGCTACTTAAAGAGATTTCAAACAAGAGAAAACAATTGGAAGCTCAGCCTTGACTTTCTTTGATGATTTCTTTGAACTGACATTTAAATACTGTGGCTGGCCTTTCTTTTATCAAGAAATAATGTGCAGAGATCAAATACAAGGAAGAAATTTTAACTTTGACTTTTTATTATTCAAGTCTAACTCACTAAATAGAAATGCTGACTTTATTATTTCCACAAATCAGAAAAGAAAATCAGTGGTACAGGTATTGACTGTTTAGTATTGAAACCGACTGGGATGCGTTTCAGAAGTGCAAAAATGTTCCTATATGTGAACTATGTGTTTATGTAATTATACCTCATGTTAAGCTTGATTAAAATCTGTTGAGCAAATTGGTTAATATCATTAATTCTGCCATAGTACTCCTTAAGTAGCAGTATGTGATTTGAGCCACTTGGGACCTATTTGAGTTCCATGTGTTACAGCCAATCTTTTTTGTCTGACCACTGAGCAGGTTCTGTCAGGACAAATTCTTTATCTACTTTCTAACTCCTCTCACTCTTCACCAGAACTTTGGTGAAGCTGTAGCAAGCTTTGGGATACGTAGGAGGGGGCTGCTAGTTGAACAGGATGCTGAAAATGTTGAACCAGGTCATCAAAACCCTGTGCAAGCAATGTTTTGTATCACTGTGCCAGTAGGTTTGGGGTCAAACTGTTTGAATTTGTAATGGTTTATTTAAAAAAAAAAAGGTGGTGTGGTGGGGGATGCTGCTAGTATATCATTATCCTTTTTGTATTACTCAAAACCAACAGAGACAAAAGTACAGGTTATGTATTATTTTATGTATTTCCTGCAGTTCAAAACAACCACAAAAGAATTAAAGATCCAATGTATTATTATTTAGAAATTTACACTTTGATTGCATTTGCTGAGATATGCATTGCTTCAAATAGAACATTTGAGTTACCTAAATATACACTGTGGTTCAAAAACATATTTATACTTGTGGTGTGCATAGAACATTCCCATTTGATGTGTTATGTTGAAGTTAAAAGTGGGTTTAATCCAAAAGAAATAGACTAATTAGGAATTTCACAGAATAGGTATAAACTTGGGAGTTTCTTCTGGGAAAATTGGTGACGTGCTCTTTATGTGATCACCTAAAATGAACAGAAATTTGTAAATACACTAGGTTGCACTTAAAATCACTTGAATGAGAAATCTTGACCAGTCTTATTGATTTACTAGATAAGATCAGCTAAGTTTTGATCAATTCCATTGCTGCTTTATAGGGGGCAAAGACTAGAATATAAATAGCTATGTTAGTAGCCTATTAATTGAGCCATTTGCTTTTCAGATTCTCTAGGAACATCCCAAGTGTGTATCTGTGTGTGTACACACATGCACATTTATATGACTTGATTCATTGTTCCTTAAAGAGAAAATTTAAACTAAATGCATGAACCCTACAAAGCAATTTTCCAGTTTTATATCTTCCCTGTTTCAAAACTTGAAGTGCATTAAAATATGAATAAACTTAATTTTCCTGTTACTTTATGCTGCAATGATGGTAAAGGTGGATAGGAGAATAAGTTGGTGCCTGGTATAGGAAAATACAAATTATTTGAGATACTATTTTAGTCTTCTGAATGTTGTGCTGAGCATTCTTTCCAGGCTTAGGGGGTTATTTAGAAACAAGTGTATCCTTAGTATCGGATAAACTAAACGCCTTCCCTCCTTTTCTTTTTTAAATCAGGCATTAAATATAACTTGGTCTGTATATTTCAAGTTGGATTAAAGCAATTTAAATGGTTGGAACTCAATACAATGGCAGCTTTGTACAGCACCTCATGAGTTTTTCTGATTGGAGACATGCTTAAAATTAGTGCCATTAAACTACAAATCAGTATTTGGCAGGAAAAAAAATGGCACACAATTGGTTTTTGTTTTTTTAATGTTTTACCACAAACTGGTTTTGAAATAACTCTTAACTTTGAAATCAGTTTGCTATGAAGGTATTTTTAAGAGGCATAAACAAATATTTAACTACTTGTAAGTTGTTCCATGCGACTTTGATTCTTACTCATATATTTTTTTAAATCACTTGTCATCAGATGAATGCCATGAGAAAAATTGTTTCAACGTACACATAATTACAGTTAAAATTGAACTAGAATGCATAAAGCTTTTGACTGTATCCAAGTTACCAAATGTATTAAATACCCATACTAACTTTAACAAATATAAATATGAGTGCATGAGTTCCCAAACAAGATGAGTTTCTCTAGGTTAAAAAGAACCAATTTCCTTCCAACATTCTTGTCTCGACTCTCGACTAAAATGGCAGATGGTTGTGAGAAGGAGTTACCCTTTTTTCAATGACTTCAGTAAAATTGAAAGCATAGAAAATCCCACAGGCATAGTCCAGCTCTGATTCTTGACTGACTCTCAGCATTAACAAAAATGCTTTATTTCAACTTTATTTCAGCAACGGGCAATTGGGTCAGAAGAAAGCTTAATACAAAGCCTTTGGATAATTAATCTTATTTTGAGCAAGACGTTATCAATCAGTTCTTTAAAGCTAAAGCCCTTTTTTGTTTTCATATATATTTTTATCCAAAGCAGGCTTTGGACAGAACAGCTATGTGTGAGCATTAATTTCAAATTGATCTGTTACTGCCATTCCTCTAAAATGCGTTGGGAGACTTTGGGTGTCGTTCCTACTTTTGATTTTCAAGCCACACCATTTTTTTTCCAGAGGATTTATGTGTGCTTATTACAATAATATTTCTTTACATATATACGAGAAAAGCATACATTGCTGTGTGCACATTTTGTGGTTAGATATAAACAACATCTATTTTTAAGAGTGAAGAAAAAAGTGTCCTGTGCTTCCATAGGATCAGTGAATGATGGTATCTTGGTTGATGTCAATCTGTAGAGTGGAAGAAGCAGATCAGGATAATATACCCAAGACAAGCTGAACATAACTAGTTTCTAGATTTAGGTTGATGAAAGAATTGACTTACCATTTTGTTTTTGTTTTTTCATTAGCCCTGGCTGCATGCTTGCTTCTGTGCCTATATGTAATGCCTACTTAAATGTGTAAATTTTGTAAATAAAGGATTACTACAAAGATAAATATAGTCTCTCTTATCTGTAAAACCAGCCTGCAAAGCAGCCCACACTGATGCTAACTATTGATGACAGATTTGTCAGACTTGCGGAGCTTAATACGTTTAGTAAATCTTACTATTTGGGAAGTTATATTGTTACAAAGAAGGAAGTTTGAAACAGTACTACGTTAAACTTTCTCTGTGGCAGTATTAAAGTTCACTTGGGGATAGCGATGATGAATCATACAATCAATAGCTATGTAAACTGCTAATGTAATACGCATGATAGTGATCTTCGGTGAATGATTAATAGACTGCATCTTGTTTCCAAAGTACGGTAGAAGCTGCTGCTATTCAAAAGAAACAAAGACTACCCTGAGTATTACAACTAGCGGTTTTTGTTTTAGTCCTTTTTTAAACAGTCACAAAAATTTATGACAAAATGGCATTAGAAGAGGGAAAACTAAATGTTGAAAGGGAAATGAATACTTCTCAAATACAAGATTTCAGGGTTAAGTTTAGTTATACTTTTAATTTGGTTTTTAAGGAGTAGTCAATATGCCTGCTGCCTGAAAATATTTATAAACAATAATAAAGAAAGGATAAAAATCAAGTTATGGGCATCAACACCCAAAATCCATGGATAATTGTGCTTGATACTCAATATTTATAAAATAGACTCAATGCCTCATCTACTTTGCCATATTAGATACAGGTAGTGCTTGGCTTACGACCACACTGAACCCAAAATTTCCATCGCTAAGTATGTTAAGAATTTGTTACATGAATTTTGCCCCATTTCTTGTCATAGTTGTTAAGTGAATTGCTGCAGTTGTTAAGAACATGGTTGTTAAGTGAATCTGGCTTCCCCATTGACTGCTTGTCAGAAGGTTGCAAAAGAGGATTACATGACCCTGGGACACTGCAACCATCAAAAATACGAGTCGGTTGCCAAATGTCTGAATTTTGATCATGTGACCATGCAGATGCTTCAAAGGCATAAGTGTGAAAAATGGTCAAGTCACTTTTTAAAGCATTGTTATAACTTTGGTTATTAAATGATCTCTTGTAAGTTGAGGACTATTTACATAGTATTTCTACTATATACATATACATGCCTCCCTCTACCTTACTAATGCTCCCATCTCATTTTTATAGATTACCATTTTTATAAAGTACCTGTTATCTTAGTCTCATAAATATTTAGCTTATTATTTTGTACATTGTATAGGTTTTTTTTAGATACTCATTTTTTAATCTTCCATTGTTTGCATCTTTTACATTTATAGCTATTTTCCTTTCACTTTTTATGTTTCTTCCTAATGATTGTAGCCCATCCATTTATGTTGGGTCTATGATCTTAATGAAGACCGAAACTGAAAGCTATACTTTCTCAAATGTTACAGCAAATTATAATTGTCCTGCTGAAAGCACATCATTTATTGGATTAGGATATATGTGAATAATTACACGGCTTTGACAGATAAATGTGACCAATGTTTGCCTGCATGGGGGGGAAAAAGTCACACTCAGCTATTTGTAACCTTTTGACTATAAAGTTAAGCCAGGCATCATTTTTCCTCATAAATGAATGATGAGCTCACATGATAAAACTAATATGCTGTATAAACGCAGCTGATCCTGTTGTTGATACTGCTGCTAAACATGAAGTATGGAAACCTTTTGTGATAAAAACTACAGCAGCTGTCTTGGCGTACATGATGCATGACTCTCCTGCTATAAATAATGATCATTTGATTGTATAACAGCATCAGAAGAACTATATTATTATATTGGCCACAACATTTCACCAGCCTTCAGATGATTCCGAATGAGCAAAACATAGGCTGGGACCCTCACTCTGGTTATACTGTGTGGAAATATCTTCCTTCTTGTCTTGTTTTACCTATATTTTATGGGATTATGAACAGTTTTAATTATTTTTTTAAGTTCTTGGACCCGGAGTCACTTTAGATGGCTGGAGTGTGGATGGCCATATAAATCTGACAGCACAAATTGCACTCTTCACTTTCATGTAAGCAACCTTGTGGAAAACTCAGGGGGAAAAATCAGATACAACACAAGAAAATACAGCTTATTTTAAGCTGTATTTTATTTTAACACCGTTCACTTTATTCCTTTCTGTCTTTGTAAACTTCTGCTTCTGCTTCTGCTTCACACACTGGAAATCTTTAAATATCTTGCCTCTCATTTGTAGACTTCATTATTCTATCCAGGGGTGGGCTTCAAAAATTTTAGCAAAGGGTTCTCTGTCTAGTTGCTGGGTGGGTGTGGCCTAGTTGGCCTCCTGCACCATGGCAGGGGGGTGTTTTTGCCCTCCCTGGGCTCAGGAGGTTCTCTGGAAGCTGGAAACAGGCCGATTTCCAGTCTTCCCAAACATCCGGGTGGCCCATTTTTTGCCCTCCCAGAACTTCCATGTGTGCCCTGCACTTACCTATATCCAAAACAGGCCACATGGGGACTCATGGGAGGGGCGGGGAGTGGTGAGTGGGGCCAGCCAGGAATGGGATTTGGGCAGGGGTGGGATTCAAATTTTTAACAACCAGTTCTGTGGGTATGGCTTAGGTGGTGGGTGTGGCTTGGTGGTCATGTGACTGGG